TTTCCATAGTGCCCATCTTTAACTGACTTTACTTTTTTACAGTCTGCCGTGAAATTAGAACGGCGTGAGGCACGACTAATGAAGAAAGAAATGAAGGGTCTCTACAAGTCGGAAGCCCACCGTGCCCAGAAAGTTGCAGCCTTTACGGGTCCATCTTCTATTCATCTTATGTGATGGTGCTGCTGCACTCTTGTGAGTTGGTAAGTATAGCATTGATATTTAGAATCTTGTGATTTTGCCACATTTTATATACCAGTGTGTTTATATGTGAAAATATTCGGTTGCACTTGCTTCTGTATTTCATGTTCGATTATTGAAAAATGAAATGAAAAAGGTCAGTGTTTGAAGTTTGAACTGAAACTTTGGAGTTATACTTACACCATAGGCTTTCTAGTTCCTTATAAAGTCGTTGCATTTCTGAACTTTTTTGAGTTGCTATGGCCATGGTTTGAACATTGAACAATCCTTTCATTTTTGCCCTACAGTGTTGATTGAGCACACAATTTCAGAGAACTCGCTATTATATTGGGAAAGAAAAGACCAAAACAATATTGCCAAAACGATCCAATCTGTTCTTCATTGTCGTATAATGTTAAACACTACTGTAAAATTTTGATTCGGACCTTATTCTTTTGGTTTGTGGGTTATTACAGGTAAACATGTATAGAGGACTTTAATGTGATACCGAGTGAAGTCACTTCCCGCTCTACCGGTTCAAGCAGTCGATGTACGTGTAACATGAACTGGTTTTACTGAAGTTTCTATGTTGAGCTTTGAATTTAGAAAATGCTGGCATATGTTTTCATCCGAGTTTCTGAGGTTTTCATGGTTAAATTGTGCAACTTTTTCTTTTTTGTGCTTTTGTTTCAGCTATAAGGAACTGTGTTATTGGTTAGTTAAAATCAGTTTTTTTTTGTGCTTTTTTTTTTTTTTCAGCTATAAGGAACTTTTTCTATAATGCTCATGTTCTTGGAATTATCATTGGCCTACATTAGTGTTTCGTCCTTATGAAATGACACTAGTTTTACTAAATTATTGTGAATTTTTAAATGTATTGATCTATTTAATTATTACCTCTCTAATACGAAACAATATATATAATTATTAAGAAAAAATGATTATTGTGTTCACTCAATAAATGATTAGTTAATAAGTTAAATGGTAATTATCTAATAATTAAGAAAAATTGTCGGGATTATCAAATTAAATAAATATTTATTTATTTATTGTTAAATGGTATCATCAGCTAACAATAAATAACAATAAATAAGCCAAAAAAAATAGTAGAGTTAAATGAGTAAATAAATTCCACATGAGAGGGGCAACATGGTAAATCAGCAACAGGCAAATTTTGCGTGAGGAATTGGTGCTCCATCCCCTCCGTCACCAAAGTAGGGCGTGGGGTTCCATATCCCGTAGTCCGACTCCATCACGGGCCGAGCCGCCGCCTCCGGCCACCGTCCAACCACCTCCTCCGGCCAATAAGGTGGCGGTCTTGTAGGTGGTGAGGCACCGGACAACCCTCCCTCCACAGTCACCAGCATGACCACCAATACAACTACCGCGCGGTTCGGTGGTTTGGGTCCCACTGGACCTACTTTTGAACTCACCATTGTATGTAGACTCTGAAAATGAAACACTCCTGAGCAAAATCTTTACAAATTAAATGCCATAATCCTGGAATTGTTGTTATATGCAATTTTGACTATGAGAATTAATTAATTAATTTAATTAGCTGCGCTTTATGTTGAAGGATGAGAAGAAATTTTGGGATGTTTTTGGTCTCACGCTAGTTGTGTGACATAATATCATGCTTCTTGCATGTATTGTAATATAAGAGAGACACCGGTTGTGTTGTGCAAGGAGAAATTATCGTCATGTTGTGTTTCAATATAATCCCACAAATTAATTTTGTAACTCACATTTTTAACTATTTGGCATGATATAATATATAAGCAGTATATTATATGTTATCATCCGTTTGGCTATAAAGTCAATAGTTGACTCCACACCAAATGAACTGAGTCTCTGCATCAAACTTCGTTTGGAAGTTTGAAATTCGGACTCTGATAACCTGCAAAGCCCCGAGAGATATACCGGAGTATAAACCCGACGCTCAAGTCAAATGTATCCTTAGACAATATCTAGCAAATAAAATGATTAAATTCTAGATTAGGGTTAACTCCTTAGCAAAATATATATTTATATGAACTTAGTTACTTCCGTATCGACTAGATATTTATATCATTGTACCCATACCATAATATCTATATTGAATTTAACATAAATAATCAAATCTGTTGGCAATTGTCGGTTGAAGTTTTGAACTCCTCGTCACATATTACAAAAAATTGAAAACTTTTTGGTCTATTGACGATTGAGGACTCTGATGGAAGATATAGTTATACCTTTATGAAAAGAGCTTTCTAAACATATATATATATATATATTTATTTGGAATCCAATACCAATATCTAAAATGCATTGTTTTGAAACCCTGATCGGCCCTGTGGGTCGACCTGGGACCCATGCGACCGAGAACTGGGACCGATCCGAATAGGTTGTTCGAATCGGGTAGCAAGGAACCTGGTCAACCCGACCTTTACTTGGTCGACCCGGGTATGGATCAAGTCGGGTCAATTCGGTTTGACCTGACCATTATATTTTTTTAAAATAAAATTATGTGTATATACATATATATATATATATATATATATATATATATATATGATAAAATTACAATATTATTAAGACTTTGGGATATAAATTTACGTATAAATAATTTAATTTAATTTTGTAATGTATAATTATAAGATAAAAAAGTATAAATATAATTTGGAATTCTTTAAAATTAATTACCCGATTCAAAAATTGATTCGGTGACCCAGAGTCCAGCCCAAGTCAATCACCGTCCGAGTTTCAAAACTATATTAAAATGTAATGTGACTTTTTTATTTTTATTTTTTGTCAAAAAGTAAAAAAACAAAGAAGACATGAAGCGAAGGAACTCCGGGTCTTTTGTCGGGACTTGAACCCGGGTCTTTTAGGTGAGAGGCGAGTATCCTAACTACCTAGACTACAATGGATTTATTGTAATGTTGAAAGTTACTTAACGATTCATAGGAAGCGAAGGAACTCTGGATTTACCTAATGTCATATAAAACGTAATTGATTCGCGTGTTGAAAAAGTTATGCTCCCACCCCCCAAAGATCCGTACCCTCCTTATTTATCTCTATAAATTAGGAGCTTTTATTTATCCCATAATTTTTGCGGTTGAAGTATTTTATCGGCATGACTTTTTGTTGTTATGTCATTCAATGCTTAATATATTTGTTCAAAAAATTTAAGTTGTATATATTTTAATGTAAAATTTAAGTTGTGGTTATTTATTACTAAAAATAAACGTTTATTCAAAATAATTTATATATTAATAAACATTTATTATTATTTTTTCCTTATTAGTAATATTATTCTTATGGGTATGCTTACCAGAATATTAAACACTTTAAAAAAATTTGAAAAAAAAAATTGAATTATTACGTCTTTTACTCTATTTGAAATTCAAAATTAAATTTATAAATATATTTATAAATTTTATTATTTATTTTTTTCCTTATGTGATATAATCTAAATTTGGTTATTAAAATTTTAAATTCAAACATTTAAGGGAAAAGACTACGAACAAATTTTTTGGTTAAATTTCATTTTATCTTAACTTTCATATAATCACATTCCTAACAAACTAATTAGTATAATATTTTTATATCCACATTTATATAATCAGATTTCTTAAAATCTAATTAATATAATATTTTAACAAATTTATCATTTGTATAACTTGATTTATCTCATTAACAAACTTGCCATTTTTTTTTTAAATTAAAAAAATCTTGGATGGTTTTGATTTGTAAAAAATAAAAAATAGCTTTACTTTAAAGTCTGAATTTTTCTATTATTTTTTTTTTTTTACATTAACAATCATATCTTAGATAATTTATTTCAAAAAAAAAATCAAAACCGTAAGGATTCCCTAAATAAAAAATATTAGATAAAGAGAAGTGTTTAATAATATATATTTGTCATTGTTTGTACTTATTTTATTTTCATAATAGATGAGATGTGAAAATATAAAGAATTATATTTAAAATAAAGTCTAAAAAAAGGTTTAAAATATGAGTTTTTTTCGTGCATCACACAGGATCTACACTAGTTTATATGAACTTAGTTACCTCCATATCGACTAGATATTTATATCATTATACCCGTACCATAATATCTCTATTGAATTTAAAATAAATATTCGAGTCTGTCGGCAATTGTCCGTCGAAGTTTTGAACTCCTCGTCACACATTACAAAAATCTAAAACCTTTTTTAGTCTATTTAAGATCTTTCTAAACATATATATATTTATGTTAGTTCGGAATCCAATACCAATATTTAAAATGCATTGTTTTGAAACTTGATCGGCCCGGCTGGTCGACCTGGGACCCATGCGACTGAGAACTGGGACCGATCTGAGTAGGTTGTTCGAATCGGGTAGCAAGGTGCCTGGTCAACCCGACCTTGACTTGGTCGTCCTGAGTATGGATTAAGTCGGGTCAATTTGGTTTGACCCGACCATTATATTTTTTGGTTTGTTTTCTTTTAAACCTTTTATTTTTAAAAATAAAATTATATATATATATGATAAAACACAATATTATTAAGACTCTGGGTTATAAAATTACCTATAAATAATTTAATTTAATTATGTAATGTATAATTATAAGATAAAAAAATATAAATATAATTTGGAATCTTATAAAATTAATTACTCGGTTCAAATTCAGAGTCCAGCCAAAGTCAATCACCGTCCGAGTTTTAAAGCTATATTAAAATGTAATGTGCCTTTTTTTTGTCGAAAAGGAACAAAAAACAAAGAAGACATGAAGCGAATATTAAAAAGAAAAAATAATTCCATAGTCTGAAATCCAACTGTCACCAATATTCAAATGTAATAATATATATTTAAAGAAACATAGAGAAGATATGCAACAGATATGAAAAATAAATTTCAATTGCCGGGACTTGAACCCAGGTTTCTCGAATGAGAGCCGAGTATCTTGACCACCTAGACTACAACGGATTTGTCGTAATGTTGAAAGTTACTTGACCATTCACAAGAAACGAAGG